TACAAAAAAATAAAAAAGCGCGTCAATTGTCGTGTCACGCGCGCATACACGGGTTTTATCGCGTTTACCTTGTCTTGTGTGATGCTCTTCCATGCGTGCTCTGTCTTTTTCACCCAATTGTATGGTGTGAGGATATCAATGACGCCAAAATAATAAAGCAACGTTGTGGCCTGATCGTTGCAATTGCTGCTTTGGTATCCGCCATTGTCGGCGTAAAAGATGCAATGCTTGCGCCTGAAAAAATAGCGAAAAAAAAAACAATGACAAGAAATGAATAAAAAGGACCCATTGCTCAACTCTGGCACCCGTGCGTCGCATACTCTTCTGATAGATTTGCAGACAAGCTTGGTGTGCCGGCCATGGTAACGGGATTGGTCGTGTATTTGATGGACCGCTGGCGTGACGGGCGTCTTTCGACTGTTGCGTGCGCCTCGACAAGCTGCAGACGTTGGTCGCGATATCGCTCGCAATTGCCGCGATTAAAATCATGGATCCCAATTAACAGGCTGTAGTCCATGATGTGCAATTGCGTCAGCAGCTTTTGAAGAAAAAAAATCGGAATACGTGTCAATTGCGCCATTTTTGCCCCTCCCCCTTTTTTTCTTTTGGCCTTACCTCAACGTCCTTCTCCAATTGTGCCATCAACATTTGACTCTTCTCGGGCCCCAATTCCAATTGTTTTGCGCGCCGCACCCAATTGAGGTCTTTCATGACGGCGTGTGGGTTGTGTGCAATCTCGTCTTCGGGAATCCACCGTCCAAAGGTCGACCCTTTAAGGTCGTAGGTCTCGTGCACGTCATTATTGGCTGGAAACACGTTGCCCATGACCATGAAATGAATCTTGCGCCCACGTGGCAGCTTGATGCGATGTAATCCATAAATGCGGCACAGCAGCGTGTTGGGATTGCGACGCACGTACTAAATAATATAATAAAAATGAAAAAAGGAGATTTGAACACGCGTCTTTTTTTTTTTTTTTTGCCAATTAGCAGGATGGAGAGGGAGAATCGAGGAACAAAAAAAAAGACAGAAAAAGGAGGAATTTGTGATTTACCTGATAATAATCCGTGAGGATCCGCCGCATAAAGACGTGTTCTGATTTGTGGATGGTCTTTATGATGTAGCGGTAATCGCGCGAGTAATAAAAAAAGCTGCCGCTCTTGCCAGGCGAACCCAATTCCGACAAAATATATTTGTGTGTCAACGACATCTGCGCGAAAAATAGATTAAGGAGATCAATCCGTCTTGTTGGACTCTCAATTTCACCTCCCCCCCCCGCGCGCTCTCCTCACTCTCCATGTGCTCCTGGTTTCCCTTTTTTTTTTTACCAGATAGTCTGCGGCATCAATATGGAACAGCTCACGCAAATTGCGAAACACCCATGGCGCGTAATCCTTGAATTTAAAGTCGTATTTGACGCCAGGCGTGAGCTCGTTTCCGGTGCTACGAATGATCAGGGCAAAAGACAAAGAAGATGAAAGCGAATAAAAGATTAGAACAAGGGGCATTTTCTATTTGGGGCGCGCGTGCTTACACATCAAAGACCAGCTTGTGTGCACCTTGGAAATCCTCCTTGGTCGGATCACGGCGAATCTTGGCAGAGACGCGGCCCACAGCAATGCGGATGCCTGTCAACATGTCGTACCTATTTGCAAAAAAAAAAAAAAAAAAAAAAAAAAAAGGGTCAATTGAGTCCAATTGCGTTTGCAATTTGCATTGGAAGAGGCAAATGGAGCCATTGGTCGATTTTTTTTTTGACTTGCATGAGATGATAATTGCGATGACCCTCGGACACCTTTGTGCCAATGGCAACGTGATCATCTTCGTCGTCGGTGTCTGCATAATGTTTGCGTCGCCGTGAACGGCGTGCGGCGCGGCGCGCGGTAATTTCGGCTTCGAGAGCGACCTGCTCGTCGTGGTCAAGTGGGCCTAGATCCACACGCGCCGTGACACTTGACACGAGCGACGGCGACGTGTACAGGCGCGGCGACGCCAGGCTGTAATTGCTCGTGCTTGTTGTTGTCCGGTCTAGACGGAGCCCTGTTCTTTTTTTTTCCGACTCGTCGTCCTGCGTGACCAAAGCCGGTTGCGGCAGTGCCGACGGCTGCTGGGCCTGTTGCTGCTGCTGCTCCTGCTGTTGCTGCAGCTGCTGTTGCTGCAGCTGCTGTTGCGAATGGACGTGCGCTTGGTGCTGCTGTTGCTGCTGTGCTGGCGGTGGTGGCGGCAGCTCGCTGGGCTTTTCAATTGGCGTGCCATTGTCTTTGGTCGCACAAGCACTGGCAATCGCTGCTGTCGATGGTATCACAGACATGGGCCAAAAGAGCAAACCCAGAAAAGAGAGTGAAAAAAAAGAGCGAAAAAGAAAAAAAAAAGGGGAGGGGGAAAAGGGAAGGAGCCCCATTTCTTTCTTTTTTTATTTACAAATTGGGGGGAGATCCGCTCAATCATGATCCAACGACTTGTGTCTGTGGGGGAAAAAAATCAACGAGAGTTCATTGAGGAGGAACCAGAGGGGGGACAGGAGGAGAGAAATAGGTGGTTTGTAAGGTGGACCGATGACGAATTGAATAGAGCGTGCATACGAAAGAATTGGGGTTGAGAGAGAGCGAGGGAGAAGTAGAAGACATGGCCTTTAATGGTGTTGGCTGAGATGGTACGAAAGGCCCGCCAGCGACGCAAAGCCTACGGTGTGTGGGCACTTGGCGATAAAGCAGAAGAACAGCTTTTCTTTGGGATGCGCGGCGACAATGTGGTTTTTGGCAAGCGTCTTGTTGTCGAATGTGTCGCCACACTTGGGGCACTTGTTCTCGCTATAATGCATCTTCAACGTTTCCGACAATGGCGCACTTAGCCCATTTTTGCGTGCTTGAGGCGGCGCGCGCGTCGATGCCACAATTTCGATGCTAAGAAAACCCCCCCCAAAAAAAAAAATGTAACGCGTCCGTCAGTCCATGTTTTCCATGTGGTTGCTTTTTTGATTCGATCGCCTCTTACCGATCACCATGTTGCTTGAGCGTGTGCGCCATGGAGAGATGGTATGTCAGGCCTTGGAGTGTGGAAAACTTTTGAGTGCACGTGCTGTCAACACATTTGTACGCTTTGACGCCCTTGTGGTCCTTTTTAAAGTGCGTGTAAAGACTGTCGCGCGTCCGCGACACCTGTTTGCAGACCACACACGCCAAACCGGGGTAGGCGCGGTCGACAAGCGCGCTCGCAAGATCTTGTGCACGCGTCGGACTGGGGTCTACAGTGGCCTTTGCCCTCTTGGTTCTAAGAAAAACGAGATGAGTCCCAAGCAAAAAACCCCAACCATGCACAAAAAAAAAAAAAAAAAGGGCAACAAAAAGGGACCAAAAAGCGCACGCACGCTCGAAACTGCCCTCAAATGATGTCTTACTTTGGAGCTTTCATGCTGTAATTCGTATTCGTTCAGGGAAACGTGCCAACAGAAAGGGAAAAAAAACACTTAAAGCAAGCACAAACAGGAAGAAAAAAAGGCACAAAGAAAAAAAGAAAGTGGAAAAACAAAAAAAAATTCCAGCTCCTCCGCGTTTTTTTTTTTATTTTTTTTTTTTTGTTGTTGATCACTCCGCTCTTGGATTCTCAGCGCATCCCGCGCGCAGGTGATTAAATCCCACTTGCGCCACCTTGCGACTAGCCAACGAACACGCGCCCTCCAAAATGGACAATGGCGCGCATCCACGCTGCCAACCATCAATGACGCCCGCAATAAACGTGTCGCCGGCACCCACGGTATCAATGGCCGTCACACGAGGTGCCGCGGCATGGAGCAAGCCATCTTTTTGCGAAATGGACCACGCGCCTTGCTCACCCCACGTACAATACAATGTTGCACTATCCGTTTGAAGAAATCAAAAAATGTGCCTTTCTTTTTTTTTTTGGTTTCGCCCACAAAACAAGCTTACGTTTGCTTGCACCGCGCTTGCATTGCGTTCAAGAACATCTGTGCCGAATCAAAGCCACGCGTCTCGGCAAAGAGGCGCGAAAAGAACAACACGTCGCCATGAGGCAACATCAGGTCAATATCCGGCCGGTCTGGCTTTTCAAGCTCAATTGACACCGTGCACGTTGGCTGATGCTGCCGGAGCCATGTCATCTGCTCAATGGCCCCATGGATGTTGCGCCCTTCAAAGTGTGCCCATTCAAACGGCTTTTCGCGACACAATGGCTCCACTTTATCAATGAACTCGTCCACGTCGATCTCCTTGGTCCTGAAACAACTCTCGTTAGCTGGTCATCCATCAAGAAAAAAAAAAAGGAGAAGCCATTGTGATAGAACTTGCTTGTTGCATGAGATGATGGTCCTTGTGCCTGTTGCACTTTGGATGATGTACGAGGATGGCAATGGCGTTTCCCTGTAGATGCCCAGCGTCTTGATCCCATTCTTGGCTAGCTGTGATTCAAGACCCCTGAGATTGGTCAGCGCCATGATACCCATCCGGGATGATAATGCCTTTTTTTTTTTTTTTTTTTTTTTACCTCGAGTCGTCCTCGGGGCCAAGCGCAGACAGGCACCATGGCTCGACGTGCGGCTGCTGGACAAGCACCTGCGCCGTGTTGCAAATATTGCCACCACGACGCTCCTCCGTGTCTCGTGCTCTCAATTTGCTATCTTCTTCAGGATACCTGTCCATGTAAATAATGGTGTCGTGGTAAACCTGCCCAACAAGAAGAACACGCGCCATGACGAGAGATAAAAGAACGAGCAGAGGAAGAGAGACGTCAGAATTAGGCTGCACAACCGTCAATTTCCCACTTTCCATAGGCGGACACTAAACCCACTCGTGCCACCTTGCTTTACCGCCCTTGCACAAAAAAAAAAAAAAAAAAAAAAAAAAAAAAAGCGCAGTGCTTTTCGTCGTTGTTTTTGACACTCAATTTTATACTAGTGTTGCCAAAAAGCTATGTATGATGTGGTGCTTTGAATAAAACGAGTAGAAAAAGTGCAAAAAAAAAACGAAAAAAAAGACAAAATATAGTGCAAGCTGAGAGATTCGAACTCTCGCCTCCGAAGAGATGCGGACCTGAACCGCACGCCTTAACCACTCGGCCAAACTTGCTTTTATAATTGGGAAACAAACCTGTTCCCCAAGTTCCTTCTACAAAATTTTTGGGCTTGATTACATTGCTGTTTAGAGGTCATAGAGATGTTTGAAATGGAGCTTGCATTTGAACGGGCCAAAAAATTTAGAGATTGGACCATTGGTTCCCTCACAAATCCCAATAATCTAAATTTTGATAAAAGTCGTAGACTCGCCGCTGGTTGAGCGCTTTTACTTCGCTGGAAATTGTACCCGGTTGGCTTAGACAACTGTTGCGGTCATTTTCACATGTTTTTGTAGGCTATCAGGTACAAAAGTCTTTATGAAAACGTGCCAAATTGTAAGTTTAAGAACGAATACCAGTGTTCTGAGTCTTTGTACATGCTCGCCCCTCGACCCATCTCCTCTCACTGAAAAAAAAAAAAGCAATGTTGTTTGCATTTACCAATGTCATGTCCCATCAAAGATGATAATAGACAAGCTTTCCATCAACAAATCCCATCGTATGAGCTACATTATGCAGTATGCATGATTTTTGCGCGATCTTTTTTTTTTTTTTTGCTTTCCATCGCTTGTCTCGTTGTCTGCCATTATGTGCTTATTGTATCTCACTTTAGGCCAACCCGCGCACTCAAAAAATTCTCAAAAAATCAAGGAACGCAAAAAGAGCCATTTTGCAAGGTGCATCAGGTGAAAGGCTTGGCGAAACGGAAGACCTGCTGGCATGGTCACTGGTTAGACGCTCTGATGCAAACGATATGTAAGAACAACGGTTTGAACGATTTGTACAGTATGGCACTAGCATGTCTGAGAGTCCACAAGTATGCATGTTTGATCCGTTCATTTTTATATTCAATCATCACTCTTCAGTGGACAAAATCCAACGAGCCTCCATTTCCACGGTTGTAGCAGCGCGCTACACTGCACAAAACCCAATTCAGTTGCGAATTTGCCTTTGGAACCCGTGTTTTTCGAACTTTGTCGGCTTAGTGTGCCTCCAGAAAAAAAAAATACAGTCGACCCGCCCGTGGATGATTAAAGATACGTAGTATCATAACGAGATGAACTACAGCACTGCATACGTAATACCGTACAAGTGCATACTGTATTCCAATCTCGATGGGTTCGCCCGAATTTTTTGACTCAAAGATTCGTCCTACTGTATACTCCTGATCTCCTGCTACCGTATGCATCTATTGTGCATTTACAACAACATACTGTATTCTCCTGGTCTCCTGCTAAGCTGCTATGCGTCTATTGTGCATTTACAACATACAGTATTTTAGGTTTCTAGCCATCACTTGCGCGTTGCGCTTCCAGAATTTTTTTTACAGCCTACTTGCCCGCAATTGAAAATAACTCACGGCATAATCTATGGCCAAGCAAGTGCTCAAGACAGACTCGCCCGATTTTTTTTTGGACTCTAAAATGCCAAAAACCTCCTATTTGTACTATTTTGCATTCAATCTGGCCATCTGCATGGTTGATTCGATTCAAAAATAGCTGCATCGAAATCAACGCAAAGTTTGCAACAAAAAAGCTTAAAACCCCAAAGCGCTACGTGTTGTATTTGCCTGCTTTACAGAGCTTGATTTAATAAGAAAAGCCTAATAGACGCTTGGTCTGTCAATGAAAGAAAGCGCAAGCGCGTCTTAAACGCGCTTAACGCGTCAATGCGTGTGCAAGCAGTGATCAAAGAATTAAAATGCTGACTTGTTGCCGCAATTGATCTTTCTCATGCCGCTCCTCTAATAGCGGGCATTGCCCAATTGGGTAATGGTCCCGCTCTGCTCGTCAAATAAGCCCGCTGTCGGCTGGTCATCTCCTTTTACCGCTTTTTCATGCGTTTTGGAAGAATGCGCATCTTCCTCCATCTCGGTCTCTGTACGCATCATCACATTGTCTCAGATGCTTACAGTAAATAGAAACACACCCTCACGGTTTCATAGCCTGCTTTGATCACCAAGTGATCAATGCCTTTGAGAAACAAAAGAAAAAAAATAAAAAATGATTTGTCCGTGCCAAACATTGCATGTTGGCAAACACGACTCGAACCATTATGTTTCTCGCACTTGCGCACCAAATGAAACAACACGGTGCTTGCAAGTACAGTATTGGCATGTTTGAATCCTCTGGGATGGGCATAACTTTGTTTTGTTTGAGATCTGCGCGGCCATGTCTTGGTCTCACGCCCCTGTTTCCTTACCGTATTTAGACGCCGCGACAGCTTCAATTCACGCGTCTGCGCATCTAGCCTATCCGCCTAGTCTAGGCATTTTTCATTTTTGCATAAATATCGAAATCTTTTCATTTTAATAAAGACTTACTTCATTCTCGTTATTCTCAACGTCTCTATCTTTTTCAGCCTTTTTGCTCAAAAGCTACCCCCATATTCTTCACTGTCATACTGTACGATCACTTTTGAAAAATTCAGAAGTCTCTCAGGGGTCACATATTTCAAGCTCAGAATATGCCAAATTTGGGAAATTTCAAACTCCGAGTGATCAATGCATACCAAACTGGTAACTCTGACGATTTGTTATTGGCAGACAAAATGGCAAGTCAGCCAAACTTAAGAAAAGCGTTCAAAGAGTGACGCATGAACGGCGATCGACTGACAAAAAGTGCCTACTTTGGGCAAGATTTTTTTGCAAAAATTTAAGGTTTGACACTTCCGAATTACTGCAAGTAGTAGTGTGGATAGCATGGAATTTTCATTTTTATTTTTTATGATACTGTATTTTTTTTATTTTTTTTACCGGTACTCTATGTTGCATGCAGCATTTAGAGGCGTACCTACAATTTTTCGATGTTTAGTATGAATTGGGCAATTCGTTTTCTCCGCCTCAGGGACGTGCCCTTGCCTTTTTTTTTTTACTAGCATTTGACCTGTTTGCATTATTGATCACCGTTGTAGCTTGCATGCATGCACAGGTATGGCGGCGACAGGGTGCAGGCATACTTGAACGAAAGGCAGGTATAACAGTTCCCGTCTTTGTGTTGCATTTGGACTCTTCTCTCGTCCTCTTTCTTTCTCTCTCTCTTTTTTTTTTAAGTGTGTGCGTGCCAAGTGCATCGACCTCTGATCGTACCTCCATGCTTGTAAAAGCAAAACTACAGTGGAGCCGGGGAACACTCGAACAACAAAGGAGTATGGAATACTGTATGATACCGTATAAGAGTTTTCGTCTTATTTTGCTTTGGCCTTTCGCACCTTTGCTTTTTTGGGTCCTCGGGCAGCGCTGATCGACAAGTTTAGAGCACGCGCAACGCGAAAAATACAAAAGGGGCGACTTTTGAATGCGCGCCCTTTTTACTCTTTCTTTCTTTCTCTCTCTCAAGCTACAAAGGTGATCAATAATGCAAACAGGTCAAAGGCTAGTAAAAAAGAAAAAGACAAGGGAAAAGAAAAAGGCAAAGGCACGTCCCTGAGGCGGAGGAAACGAATTGCCCAATTCATACTAAACATCGAAAAATTGTAGGTACGCCAGCATAGAGCATACTGTAATATTTTTGTGTGCTGCAGAAGTACAGTAATGACGGATACAAAATGTACAAACCTAAGCCAGCGCCCCGCAAGTCTTGATCCCATTAGATGCTTTGCGGTTTAGTAAAACTGCAAATCTGCAAACTGCAATAAAAATAGGGCATTGACTACAGTACCTACGGTATTGTACAGTACAGTATTACAGTATTATCCCATTGTCGAGCAAATCGTGATCAAAGATTTTGATTAAAAAGTGAAATTTCTCTGTGAGTTTTAGACATTCATGCATCGATGAAGCTGATCTCATTCGATAGAGCTTCAATAGGTGTTTACGGCGTGTGTCGTCTAAGTGATTGTCTAGAAGACTAGAACATCGAGGCTGAAAATTTTTGCAATACTACTGTAATGTTTGAACGGCTTTCACAAGAAGCGCACAAAGATCATCACGCATCGGGTAAACAAACTTCTGGTGAAAATGACGTCCGAGAGCAGCAGCCAGCATCGTCTCTTTTTTTGAAGGTGTCAGTTTGTTTTCACCGCGATCTACATAAAAATGGGGAATCGGCGCTGACTTTTTTGTAAAAATTTCTTATGGAGGAAGGAGGATGGAGCGATGGACATTAAGAGTGTCAAACTGTCCTTTTGCCTAAGCTCAAAGCAGCGTCAAAGGGCGCTGCGACCTGCGAGAAGCCATTGGTGATGAACTGATGATCTTCTGGAGGAGAAAAACAAGGAAGACAATGACCTACTATCAAAATACAACACGACTTCAAGAAAATACAGACGATAGCACAAAAATGCGATTTATTTATTCAAGGGACAGATCCTGTTTCAAAGTCACATAGAATTCGAGATGGCGCTCAATCAGCTGGGTAATGACAGACGCGTCCAATGGACTCGTGGCCAGCGTTTTTTGCTATGGATGATTGAAAAGAGATGGTGTGAGGATGGATGTGTCTTTTGACATGGGACATTGGCTTACGGTGACGTATTGGATGCTTTGGTAGATGGTTTGGAAGAAAATTTTGGTGTCTTCGTGCTTCTTGTCGTAGCCCAGCTGTCGTAGATGTGACCAGAGTGCGGTCTTTAGTTGCTTTTTGTTGGCCTCGGTGACATTGGAGCTTGCGGGTGAGGCAACGGCCGACAACGATGACGCTGAGGGTTGCCGCGACACGGGGACGGATGAGGGAACGCGTGTGACGGGTTGTGGCAGGGCCGAGGTCGATGCGGTGCGTTTTGGTGCGATGCGGCGCTTGGAATAGATAAGTGTGCGTTCGGGGCGGTCGCGGCGGCGCTGGTCATACCACGATTCGATCGTTTGCAGCTGTTCACGTTGCTTGTGGAGGAGGGCGTCAAGGAGCGGCGGCGACACCGGCGACGGCGTGGGCAATAGGTCGTCCAATGACGCATAGTCGGCGCGGTCTCGGAGCATGCAGGCGTACGTCTTGTGCGTGCCTGACGACGCGTCGTGCCGCGCGTAAAGTAGCATGTGCGCTTTGGGTGCATGCGGACATGGCGCTCTGTCAAAGAA